GTAAGAAAGCTTCAAACAAAGATTTCCCGCTCCCAGCCGCCACCCCCCAGCTTCCGGTGCCAGTTCATTCATAGCAGTGCAATTATCTCGGGTTTTGAAAAACATCCTTATTGCGGAATCAGGAAGCTGGGTTTGGGAAATCCCCCTTTGTGTACTTAGGGGCTCCGGTTACAGGGCACAGGCGGGTGGACATTACGCCAGGCTGGCTTCCTGGAGACTACTTCAGGCCCCGGCTATCCTGTTCTGATTTCCAGCCGGTCATGAGCTCTGCAGGATGGAGCCGGGCTGAGGGTCTCGCTCCTCCCCAGGCCCACCTCCTCCCTCAGCCTGACAACAGCTACTGGGGGTTGAAGGGTGGGAAGCCGCCCAGTTCTGGAATCCTTCTCGGGACTCCCTGCAGCAAGGGCAGCCAAGGTGGCTCAGGAAAAGAGCTTCTTTGTCTCTTGCCCTGAGCTAAAGACACTCAGTGGGCAGGACAGGGCAGGGGGGTCGTGGCACCGAGCCCCCTGTGAGAAGGCGGGGTGGCAGGTGGCTCTCAGAACGGAAGGGCTAAGAAACCTGCTTGCACAATTTGGCCTTTCCTTGCAGAGCTGGTTAAAAAGCGTCTTTAGAGGGACGGGAAGTTCCAGGAGGTTCCTGACATGTTCCCGCAAGCCCAGCCCTGAGGAGGTTGGGGGGAGGCAGCCTATGCCCACCCCGGCTTGGGCAGCCGCAGCTGTTTGCAAATCCCCAAGCAAGCTACTTCTTTTCTCTTTAAATCTTTTTTCCTTTTTTGGGTTACACCCAGCAGTGCTCAGGGGTTCCTCCTGGCTTTGCACTCAGGAATTACTCCTGGCGGTGCTCGGGGGACCATATGGGATGCTGGGGATCGAACCAGGGTCAGCAGCGTGCAAGGCAAATGCCCTCCCTGCTGGGCTATCACTCCAGCCCCTCTATTTAATTTTTTAATGAGTGTTTCCTGAACATTTTTTTTTCTTTTTGGGTCACACCTGGCCATGCATAGGGGTTACTCCTGGCTCTGCACTCAGAAATTACCCCTGGCGGTGCTCAGGGGACCATATGGGATGCTGGGGATCGAACTCAGGTCGGCCGCGTGCAAGGCAAACGCCCTACCTGCTGTGCTATCTCTCCGGCCCCTCCTAAACATTTTTTAATTTTTAAATTGTAGTTTAAGGGGGTTGGAGAGATTGTACAGTGAGTGGGGAGCTAGCCTTGGACACGGCCAACCTGAGTTCGATCCCTGGCACCCTATATGCCCCGCAAGCCCCTCAGGAGTGATTCCTGAGTGCAGAACCAGGGACAGTCCCTGAGTATAACTAGAGTTTCTGTAATAGAGTTACATTCACTGCCACTGTCCTCCCGTTGTTCATCAATTTGCTCGAGCAGGCCCAGTAACATCTCCATTGTGAGACTTGTTACTATGTTTGGCATATCGAATACATCACGTGTAGCTTGCCAGCTTTGCCATGTGGGCGAGATACTCTCGATAGCTTGCTGGGCTCTCTGAGAGGAGCGGAGGAATCGAACTAGGGTTGACCCAGTTGGCCGTGTACAAGGCAAATGCCCTACCCACTGTGCTATCACCCCATTAGTGGTCAAATTTATGGCATTGATGTAAGAAGTTACTGCACACCACCCCTATGATCCTCCACTTCTGTCACTATGTCACCTCTGGTCCTACCTCCCCCCATCCTGGTCATGATTTGGTGCTTGCTGTTTCCAGCCCTGTCCTGTGTCCCCATGCCACTGCCAGGGGACCTATTCTTGTTTATGTTTTTAATGTAAAGGAAACAGTTCCATGTAGAAACAGGAGGAGAGAGAGAGGGAGAGAGAGAGAGAGAGAGAGAGAGAGAGAGAGAGAGAGAGAGAGAGAACCATCAGGAAGCAATGACACGTGAGAAGGCGACTCATGGCCACGAGCCCTTCCTGTAGGGTCCCACTTGGTGTCCTTCACGGCCTCCCCCAGATGGGCCTCTACACACACACACACACACACACACACACACACACACATACACACACACACCGCCTTCCCCCAGCTGTTCTGACTCTGAACCGTGAAAGTGTGAGCCAAATATTTTCTTTCCTCTTCAAAAGAGGCAGCCCAGGGGCTGGTGCAAGGGGACAGAGGGCTGAGGGGACACTTTGCATGGTGTGGGGGGCAGGGGGGCCTGGCTTCAATCCCCTGAGTACTGCCAGGAATGACCCCCAAATCCAAACCAAAACCAAACACAAACGAGGACGTTCAAAGCCAACAGTCTCCACATTCGAAAAGATTTTAAACCTCACTGCCCCAAAATGTTTAAGTAAACACTGAGGAACCGGAGAGCTGGCACGGAGAACTGGAATGTGACTCCGCGTGCAAGAGCCCCGGGGTCCACGCATGGAACCGCATATGGTCCCAGCGCCCACCACGAGTGACCTCTGAGCATCGCTGGCGGTGACCCCGATGCCAAAACACAAAAATGAAACATGCAGATCCAGTCTATCACTAAGAAAAAAGAAGCCAGTTTTCACTTGAGCATCAAATACAGTCAGACGAGGAGCTCGTCTCAAGCGAAGGACTCGCAGAACACGGCAACGAAAAGCCAATAATCCACCCACCCCCCAACATGCAGAAGGGCTGAGAAGACGCCTCTCTAGAGGAGACACCAGCCACCAGGCACAGGGTAAGGCATGTCGGTGCCCACAGTGGCCGTCCACGCGACAAGGGCTGCACACACACACACACACACACACACACACACACACACACACACACACACACCACAGCCCTGCCACGCAGGTGGAGAAAGGCCCCCGTTTCCTGTCGGGGGGACGCGGAGGGGCTCAGCCTCTCTCAATCACAGCATGGGAGGGCCCAAAAATGTTTTAAAAATAGGCTTATCATAGAATCCAGCATTTCTGCTCCTAAAAGGAAGAATCTGATTTTTGGGTCACACGCAGCGATGCTCAGGGGTTCCTCCTGGCTCTGCACTCAGGCAGCACTCCTGGTGGTGCTCAGGGGACCCTACGGGGTGCTGGGAATCAAACCCGCGTGCAAGGCAAACGCCCTCCCCACTGTGCTATCACTCTGGCCACTCGCTGAAGAATCTAGAAACGTGGATGGGAGAGGATCCATGTGGGCTCCCTCACTGCATGCAGTGGACGAGCACCAGGCTGGGCACGAGGCATGACCAACAGCAGGCCAGACGAGGACATGGGTGACGACAGTGTGGAGGGCCCAGAGCGCCTGCCTGGCATCTGCCCCGAGTAGGGCCCCTGGTACCACGGGGATCCCCTGGTGGCCCCAGCACCGTGCACCACCCCCCACCCACAGCGCCATATCACCAGCTCCAAACTCTGAGGTCCCAGGCCCACACAGTCGTGCAGGAATGACCTCTGCCCCCCTGAGAACTGCCTGAGTGGGCGGTCCCCCTCATGGGGCCTACAAACACCATGGACAGCACTCAGCCGCTCAGAAGGGGGAAATGGTGCCTTCCGGAGCAACTCGAATGAAGTGGGAGGGCGTCACGAGAAGAAAAAGTCAGAAAGAGAAACTATGTCACTAATCATATCATTTAATACATGTAAATAGCATCAATGTAAGCTCTAGTTTAGTTATGCTTATACACTGCGTTACTTAGTATGGTACTCTATTTCGGAGGTAGAAGTGTGTAGAGTATCCGGACACAGAACACAGGGGAGAGGGGAACTGGGTGCGCTCGTGGGTTCTGACTGGAGCTGCACCCCCTAGGGGCCCGCTCTGAGCGCAGAGCCGAGAGTAAGCCCTGAGCACGATGGCGTGTGGCCCCAAGAAACAGATCAAAAGCCAAGGGAGGGGCTGGAGCGATAGCACAGCGGGTAGGGCATTTGCCTTGCACGCAGCCGACCCGGGTTCGATTCCCAGCATCCCATATGGTCCCCTGAGCACCGCCAGGGGTAATTCCTGAGACCATGAGCCAGGAGTAACCCCTATGCATCGCTGGGTGTGACCCAAAAAGCAAAAAAACAAAAGCCAAGAGAAGCACAAGAGGGATGAAAAGGGCAGAGGATCCCGGGACCCGAGTGCACGGGGATGAAGGCGCCCACCTTGCACGCTGCTGACCCTTAGGGCCACACGGCCCCGAGCATAAGCCTGGCGTGACCTCCAGTGCCAGCGCTACAGATGGGCCTGGCCCTGGAAACCCAAGGAAAGGAAGTGGCCGGTGGTGGGGGTAAGGGGCGTTGGCACCCAGGCCGTGGGTATGGGGCGATGACAAACACTTAACAGGTATTACCCCTGACTGGGCTGGCATCCAGCACTCTGTCTGTCACACATGCCTCAGCCTGCCCCCCGGGGAACTCTCAAACTCTCAACCCTCCCTCTCAGGAGCTCTCCACGTTGGCTGGGCCTCAGACATCAAGCTCTAAGCAAACTAAGGCACCTGCCCAAGCTCCTAAGGAGGAAGTGTGGGACGGCTCCGTAGACACAAGTGTCTGCCTTGCAAAGCGTGAGGTCATGAGTTCGAGCCCCAGTGCCACGACATGCCACATCCCCACAACTGTACTGCCTGACCCCCGGCAAGGCCTGCAGGAGTGACCGCAGGCACACAGCCAGCCCGGTGTGGAAACAGAGACAAGGAGGGGAAGGCAGATGAATCTGACCTCCTGGGTTAACCCACTCTCAGCCGTGACAAATACTTGTAAATGTTTCTGGGGTGTGTGTCGGGGTCAGGGGCTGTGCAATGCCTCCCAAGTGGTGTGCCCGGGGCTCTGGAGGTCCTTGGGTTCCAGGGACCAAACTGAAGTCAGATGTGGGCAAGGCATGAGCCCTAATGCTCTGGACCATCTCCTGGGTACCAACTTTTGTGAATTTAAGATATTAAGCGGGACCCAGGTGTCGTGGCCGGCAGCAGAGCACCTGCCCCACGCGTGACTGAACCCAGGCACAGGGGTCTGGCGAGAGCGACACCTTTTCCATAGAACAAGACCCGTTTCGAGGCGCATCAACGAGGCACCACGCGGCCCGTGGGACTCACCTGTCCTCGAAGCACACGGTGCACTTCCAGACGCAGCTGGCACCCACGGGCACTCGGCAGCCATGGCACACGCGGTGGCTGCAGCCCTGGCACACGGCTCCCCGGTTGAGCACTCGGCCCAGCGCCTGCTGGCAGCGGGCACATGTCTGTTCCCGCCGCATCTCGCCCGGGCCCTTTGCCCCCTTCCAGCGCAGATGCTGTAGCTGCATCCTCAGCTTCCTGCGGCCAGAGCAGAGGTCAGAGGCGGCATCAGGGCGGTCCTCGCTGGGGACAGACCTCACAGCAAGAGGGATGAAACGGGGAAGGTCCAGGCACCAGACTGTCCACGCCGGATGCCCAGGAGCCTGTCACTGAGTTGGTTCTGGAATCACCCTTTGTGTCCAGCGTGCCCTGGGTCAGAAGCAAGGATGGTGCCGGGGGACCCGCTGAGAAGCGCCTGTGTAACTCTCAGGACCATGGCACAGGCAGACACGCCTGCCGGGAGCCCTTAATGCTGGCTAGCATTTAATTGGGGGCTTGTTATTTGGGGGGAGGGGGCTCCCAGCGACTCTCAGTCACCTAGACTGGTGGGTCAGTGCAAGGGCCCATGGGTTCTGCAGGGCTGGGGGTCTCCTGGGACACCTCCAGGTGTGGACGGGTGACTTTTGGGAGGCCAGGCCGTGCGGTGCTGGGGACTGAACCCAAGATGTCACCCCCGTGCCATCTTTCCGTCCATGAATGGTTTCTAATGGGGGAGGGGAGAGTCCTTCCAGTCCCCTGGCCCCTCCTGCAGTGGTCCTAGCGCAAAGGGGGATTCCGTGGCACCCTGCGGAGGCGCCCTAAACCAGGAACTCTTTCAAGAAATGTCTGTTTTCTTGTTTTCAGAAGGGAAAAGCCCCTCCCGGAAGCCAGCCTGGGAGATTCATCCCCAGGGAAGCCAGCGTTTGTCCTTTTCAGAAAGGTCTGCAGGCAGGCAGGGCTGTGAGAGGCTCTGCACAGGGCATTGTTTGAGCAGGAGAGAATGCCCTGAGCTTTGAGATGGCAAGGGAGGAGAGAAAAAGTCTGTCCCCCACTTCCTGGAGTGCTGGGTGGTCTCCAGGGGCATTTTCCTGGGAGATTCATTCCCCCAAGGGCTGGGGCAGGCACTGTGAAGCGAAGTGAAACAGTAGCAGGTGATACCTGCTACAAAGAGACAAAGCTTCTATTCAGGGCTGGTCTGACCCAGGCCGGGCCGGTCAGGGAAGCTGTTTGAGCGGCTTAGTGAGCGCTGTGGGGAGGGCCGGGGTCCCCCTCTCAGACCCCAGCAGGCTGAGCGGGCCTGACCCAAAGCCAGCTGGAAGCAGAAAGCACAGGGGGATAAAGCCCCCTGTCCCAGTGCATCTGCTGTTTCGACATGACTTGCTTTTAAGTCGTTTTCTTTATTGAGGGGTGGCCTTGGGCCATATCCAGCCGTGCTGGGTCTAGGCTGCTCCTAGCTCTGTGCTCCGGGGTTGCCCCTGGGGACGGGGTGGGGGTGGGGGTGTAAACCTTCTGGAGAAGGGCACTTGGGACCCTGAGCATGGCTTTTGAATTCATTCATCCTGCAACACAGGCAAGTGTGTGTGTGAGGGGGAGGGGGGAGGGGGAAGGGGGAGTGGGGGGGAGGGCGGGGAGGGCGAACGTGACACCATGCCAAGAGGGGCTCGTTTTTCCTGGTGTGAAATGCAGCTAGACAGCAAGGGGAGACCCCCTCAAGCCAGACAGGGGGCCATGCAGCGGGGAGCCATGGACCCCCCCTTACCCCCTCCCGTTCCCTCCTCCCCCACCCTCCCCCCCCCACACACAGCCCCAGCCCCCGCAGGCCGACCCACCGGATCCTGGCCTCCTCTCGGCTCTGCACCGCCTGGTCCCGGAGCAGGACCTGCAGGATGGCATCCCGCTCCCCTGCCTGCAAGAGGCTCAGGCTGACTTCCTGCATCATGTCCATGCACCTTCTCGGGCCCGCGGGTAAAGCCTCCCTTGGCAGCCGACAGGGCCCTCGTTCACTCCGCAGAGCCCGGCTCCCCGGCTCCTCCTCGGCACCCGCGTGGCCAGGGACGCTGCCTTGTCTTCTTCTCACCGCATCACACTCTTCAGGCCGTCCTGGCTCCCGGGGTCCTGCCCAGGGCCACGTGCCATGCAGAGGCTGAGGGTGCGCTGGGCCCCGCTGCCGCCAGCCGGACTTTCTTCTGAGACTCTGCCAAGATCGCTCTAAACTCCGCAGGACGCCGGGCAGATAATAATTTCTGCAAAGCAGAAGTAATCCCTGATTGGAGCGATCTGTGCGGCAGGAAGAGGGTGCGGGCGCGGGCAGCTAAGCCTCCTGCCAGCCCCGAACAGGCCCCGTCACCCGCAGAGGAAGGCGACGGGGCCTCACTGGCTCTGAGAAGCACAGCCCCGGCACCCGGGACTCGCTGAGGACCTCGAGTTCTAAGTTTTATCCAGCTGGGCTTCTCATATTTCTAAAACCCTCCAGCTTCCCAACGTGATTGTTTTCTTTTTCTTTTTCTTTTTTTTTCTCCCTCTAAATATCGGCTCTGTATCTCTGTGATTACCATAAAGGTCTGTATGGAATACATCATCCTAATTGAAAACACATTAAAAGCACGCGGCTTTCCGCGGTTAGTTATTACTTTTACAATTAACTTCCCAACTCAGAAGCGCTGGATCAATTAGTGGCGGTTGAAGGGGGAAGCACCATGAGTTCAACTGATCAATAATGGACGTTCCCTAATGGAGCCCTGGGCAGTCTGCAGGGGAGGCAGGGAGGGTTTGGGGGGAGCAGGCTCGCTTTTCTGTTGCTGGAAGGTTCTGCACATATTCTCCTGCCTGCCTTGCTCATGCCCGCGGTGGGGCCCACGGTACCTCCGCCTGTGCCCCCACCAACCAGGCGGGTAGGGTAAGTTGACAACATGCTGGTGTGATGTCCATCATGCAATAGAGAAAATGCAGAATTTGAATCAATGCGCTTTCTATCAAGCCAACACGAGCTGGCAACAGCAAAGCTTCTTTCCAATGTCTCTGGGGCTAGTGTTGCTTTGCTGGTCTCCACAGAGAGTCGCGTGGTTCTGGTTCACGTTTCTCACCAAGCAGTGAGGAGCAAGTGAAGACCAGGGATCTATTTAAGCAGAAGTGCCTGTTTCCCCCTTTGGTCCTTGGGTCCCTGCTGGCTGTGCTGACGGTTCCCCTGAGTTCCTGCCCGGCCGTGTCTCAGGGACGCTTTCCTCGATGCCCGTGAGTAGAGACTCAACCTTTTCCCTCGTCTTGGCAATATGATGAAGCCCCTGTGTTTAAATGCATAACATGGGAGCTAGAAAGATGGTACCATGGTTGGGCACTTGTCTCCCACACAGCTGGCACAGGTTCAATCTCCGGCCCTCCAGAATCCCTGAGCCCACCAGAAGTGATTCCTGAGTACAGGTGAGGCCCCACCAACAAAAAACAGAGGCATGAAACAAAGCACATTGAGTCCCAGAGGAAATAGTTTCTACTGAAGCCTGTCTACATGTCCGCGCATTAAATAGATCCACTGGTGGGTGAGGTGAAGGGACACATGGGTGAGGTCTCTGGGGCCTGCCCCGAGAATGTCTGTGCTCTCCCTGCTGACTGCTAACCGCACTGTGCTTTGATGCTCCTACTGCTTGAAGGAAGAAACACTGCACTTCAGTCAGAGGTGGCTGAAAAGAAAACTGTCATCTCTGAAACCCGTCCTCACGGCCTTCCGGGCTCAGGATCCCTGGCTGAGGGGATTCGATTGGTCAGTTTCATGGTAAGATCAGTTGTAATTGGGGCCAGAGAAATAGTAGAGTGGGTAGGGCGTTTGCCTTGTACGCAGTCAACCCAGGTTCGATTCCCCGGAATCCCATATGGTGCCCCAAGCACCACTAGGAGTGGTGAGTGCAAAGCCAAAAGTCACCTGAGTATCGCTAGGTGTGGCATCCCCCCCAAAAAAGATAAGTTGAAATCTACAGCTTCACCCAAACTGCAGGGCCTTCCTCAAGAGGCGATGTCCTGGTCTCCTGGGAGGAGGGTCCCTAACCCAACCAAACAGAGAGGGGTGGTCCTGGCCCGGGCCTCAGCCCACCTCTCACCAGTGCTTGCCTCAAAGGGCTTCCTCTCCAGACTGCAGGGAAATGAGAAGTCACGTGGCTTTGAACCTGGCCCTGCCCACCGGTTACTCACCCTGCCACCAGGAGCAAAGCCTCGGCCTCCCAAGTCGGTCCTCAGTTTCCAGCTGCGAGGATTAAACCCTGTGGGTCTCAGTGCCTGGAAAAGAGGAAAGCAGGATGGAACAGCGTGTTCTAAGTGGTGAGGAGGGGATTGGATATTGTCTCCCATCTCCCCGGGGTGCTCCTCCCAAACTCACCCCTGACTCTTGCTTTCTCCTGATTTCTAAACTGGGCCAGTGGCCATTCAGTTTATCCAACTCTTAAGTCAGACACTTTCGCCGGGCTCCAAACACTTCCTTTTTCTCTTTTGGGGGGTCACACCCAGCAATGCTCAGGGGTTACTCCTGGCTCTGCACTCAGGAATTACTCCTGGCAGTGCTCAGGGGACCATATGGGATGGTGGGGATCGAACCCGGGTTGGCCGCATGCAAGGCAAAGGCCCTACCAGTTGTACTATCACCCCAGCCCCCAAACACATATTTTTAATTTATTTGGTTTTGGAGCCACACCTGGCTGTGCTCAGGGCTTACTCCTGGGTCTGAGCTCAGGGATCACTCCTGGCAGACTTGGGGGGCAGGGGGCACATGCGTTGTCAGGGATTGAACCCAGGTCGGACACCTGCAAGGTAAGCACCTGACTCCCTATACTATCGCTCTGGCCCCACAAACGCTTGGACTTTGTATTGAACTTGATTTCTGTGGGGCTGTGAGGACGCTGCTGTCTGGCCTGGGCCTCACGCCCAGGGTGTGCGTGACTGTGGCCATTTACAAACCAGATGAAACTAGAAAGAGCAGGCAAACCCAGCTCAACAGTTCTCACATTTCTTTCTTCCTTCTTTCAACTACAAAACATTGAAAAAATGAAAACCACCGAGAGAGACGTCTGTTTCATCTGCCTTTTCAAAAATATGAAAAGAACGGGCAGTGGTTTCTGATTTCCGGCCCACATCGGTTGATGAGGAGCAAACTCTGTGACGTGTGCTTTGTAACTGGAAGCAGTGCAGTTCTCTCGGATGCTGCATTGTGGCCTGGGCTGCCGCGAACGGCACTGAACATCCGAGAAAGCTTTAAGAGCAAGAGCACTGACTTTTTTTTTTATGAGTAATTTGCCATCATGGGACCACCTGCTTCTCAACAATTAGGCTCTGCACTAAGGAAGTTTTCAGCAAACTGGAGACAATAATGGAGGGAAGGTGTAATGGTAAGTGGGATTGCTGTTGAACGCTGTAACAAATCATCATGAACAACTTTGTAAACCACAGTGTTTATGTAGTGTCGGGGGAAAATTTTATATATTTAGGCCTGACCTATTCCATGAAAACTCCAAATGATATTAATACAGAATTGCTTTAAAAATATTATTAACAATAGGTGAGACATGATTATCACCATAATGAGATCCAGGTTATAAAATTAAATTTTGTGTAATATACTTTAGATTCCAGAGTTGAAAACATATATTACGTAAATGAGATGGGCATTTTATTATTATATTGTATTGAATGTCTTTAATTTTCTTATTTATATAGTCAAAATCATAGAGTAATCATAAATTGGCTCTTATTGATTTACTTTCTCAACATTCCCGCTGCCGTTTCTTAAAGTTTTGCTGGAATAAGCAATATAAAGTAAATTTGTTACGTGGGGTTGGGAGGGAGACCAGGGACACTGGCAGAGGGAAGGTCACACTGGTGGTGTTGGAACACAAAATGCCTAAAACAACTGTATAATAAACAATTTTGTAAATCACGGTGTTTTTAATAAAAGTTAATTTCAAGGGGCTGGAGCAATAGTATAGTGGATAGGGCGTTTGCCTTGCACGCGGCCGACCCGGGTTCGATTCCCAGCATCCCATATGGTCCCCTAGCACCACCAGGTATAATTCCTGAGTGCAAAGCCAGGAGTGACCCTGTGCATCCCTGGGTGTGATCCAAAATGAAAAAAAATTAATTTCTAAAAAATAAAGGAAGTTTTCAGCAGGTCATTGTGAGGATATTCCAAAGTCACATCTCCACTCCGGGCCAGCAAGACTGGGGCTGACTCAGGGGGTCCCTAAGACACTTCCCAGCTCATCATCCCACACACCCCCGCAGAGCCCTCTCTGGTAGCCACCCGGAGCTCATCCTCCCGCTGCTGCCACTCTGCCCACCAACAGGGCCCCTGGGTGCCGGTATGAGGGGGGCACCTTCCAGGCCAGGCGCTGTCCTGTGCTTAGGGCACAAGACTCCGGGAGGGGCACTTGGCTCCCTGATCACCTCTGATGAGGATAAGATGCAGCGGACAGAAAAGCACACACAGACAAAAATAAAATAAGGAGCCCCCACAGGGTCACGGCGGGCCTGCCTGGCATAGGGCAAACCCCTCCCCCCATCCACGGCATTGCCAGGAGCGAGCCCTGAGCACAGAGCCAGCAGTCTCTGGGCATCTCCTGGGCGGCGGGAGAGCAAACCCAAATAAAAACAAGAGAATAATATTGGGCGACGCCCAGGTGGGCAGTCAGAGCTGAGGAGGCGGTGGCCGTCCTTGCAGACGGGCTGAGCGCGGCTTCTCTGCCCCCCACCAAGGCCAAGCAGAGCCAAACGTTACTCAAGACTGCGCCGGTGCTGCCGGGCGGGAAGGGAGAAGGAGCAGGTGGGCGCAGACCCCCACCAGAGCGCTGGGCTGCAGGGGAGGCAGGAGCCGGAGGGCACCGCGCCGCGACCGCGCACCTTGGCACGGCGCCGTGACCACGTGCCGTGACCGCGCACCAAGGCCGCACGCCGTGACCGCGTGCC